ACCCTTTGCTCGTCGTCTGGGTCTTCCAGCCAACATCGGAACAAAAACACCAAAAAGCTTAAGACCAAAATTGAAAACACGCGTTTTGACAGACATTAATAACACACATCCTCAAACGACAATACTGTCAAGAAAAAGGAACACAAACTGTCCCCGGCTCTTCATCAAGCACTCCCATCCAATGCTCAGGTCAACAGTTGTGCCACGGTTTTGTTGCGCCTCGCTGAGGTGGTTCCATTCCCACACGTTGATGTGCACCAGTTGCACACCCATCCTGGGCAAAGAAATCCAGCCTTGAATGTTTTTCCAGTTTCCAACTCCATGAAAAACCAGGTTTCCTTGCCAAAAACGTTCATGTTTCTTCTGTTTCTTCAACTTTCCCTACAAAATCCGAGGTGTACAAGTCCACTTCAGCCGGCGGATCTTGGCCGATCCATGAGACAAATGCAGAACCCCCCACTTCTTGCCCAGCTCCTCTGCAAGAGCTTGTGCCGAAACTTCGTGGCCATGGTCAGCTGGGGTGTCCGTTCCTCCTCCATGCCCAACGAAACTCGAGGCGAACGAACCGCCTCAAAGGAAGGAAGGAAGGAGGTGGACAACTGCAACATGTAAAACCTCCTCTCCAAATACTCCTTGATGTGGTGATTGAGACGGTGCTTTTAGGATGTCCGAGTTGGACTCCTTTGCTCAAAGTGGGGGCAAACGATCCAGGGAGGAGTTGAACCTCCAACTTCGTGCTTGTCAAGCAGGTGCAGCCCACCAGTGAAGGCAGGCAGGAACAGTTTGCAAAGACGACGCCTTACCCATTAGGCCACTGGATCAACTGCTTGGGTGGGGAGTGCCATTGAGATCATTTTGAGTCCTCGATCTTCCAGGGCTCTTTCTGCGAAGAAACCAGCAGCTAGCAACAAAATCATTACTCGCATAATGTCTAAGAAGCCTTAATAAAAGGTTCACTTATTGCTTCTACACTGGACATTCTGGCTGGTTTAGAGCTTCTTTGCCCATCCTGTCGAAGAGCGCAGTAGGCGTCAGCTTCATTGCACTCGTAAACCTGGATGTGGATGGGAACCATCAACCAGAAAAGGACATGGGTTATAAATACATATAAATACCATCACGGAGGCCATCACTATTAGGTTCCTTTAAGTAATTAGCCCATAAAAATGACTCCCTCCCTTCACTCGTCAAACTCAATGCCAGCATCAACGGTCTCCAATAATTGATTGCTACCTTCCAGCCGAGTCTCCACGGACCTACAAAGGCCATGCTGCTTTTCTCATGAGGGTCAAAACCACACACGCACGTACTGCATTATCTAGAGTATTGCAGCTCTTGCAATCACAGCTACACTAGGGTCCAATTCCAGTGCCGTAAGGGTGTTTCCACTTAATCAAGCCAAGCAACCACCTGCTCCCCGTGAATATTCTTGGCCTGGCAAAAGCGCCAACATGGAAGGCATTGGTGTCATCTCAGGGATGGGAACATGATGCATCAGGATGCCGTGTGGGTGAAACTGGAGAACTTCCAAAAGCAGTTTGCATCAACCACGGATAATCGATCTGTACTGCCTTTAAACAAAGGCCCCCCCAGTCATATCCAGCTCAAGTTCGGCCCACAGGCTTTTGGTCCGTTCGATGCATTGTGCACCATGACTCATGCAGAGATTAAGGCCAGGCTTTTGGTCCATTGACCAGATTCTCGTGAGTCATGGAGAAACTTTTAGTAAGTCAGTGGCAGCCAAGCTGGATTCCTCGATGAAGGCGGCAGCCGATGCGTTCCTCGATGTTCCTCGAGCCTTTTGCGGTAAGATCAAGGGTCTCAACTGATTGAGCAAGCTAGACCTGTAATGTAGACTCTTGGTTAGTAAACCCCTGATAGAAGGAGGTGTTTGTTCAATCCAAATGGGGAGGGTTCTTAATCAAGAGTCTATACATAATTTGGGAAATGGCCAGTCTTGGACATCAGCCCATCAGCCACTTTGCCTTTGTCGGGCAGCCTGTAAGCTTCCGATGGACACTCTGATCATGCAACTGCATGGCGATTGGAAACATTAAAATTGCCCATATTTAATATCTACGAGATTCGTTATATTCGTTCTGGGGTAGAAAGAGGTATGTTGTGCCTTCTTTCTGCTGTTAGCTGCCATTGCAGTGGTGAACGAGAAACTCCTTCCCTTCTTCACCACGGACCCTCTCCCCAGCCCCCTCAGTTTGCAGGGCTGCACCACGCTTTCATGCGGCCTGAAGGAGGTGAAGTTCTAAAGGCCCTGCCATGGCGGTCCAGGTATTGACGCCCAGCTGATCTAAGACCTGTGCCACCTGTGGACAGCAGTGGACAGGAGCGGCAGAGTCGCCCTTGCACTTCGACGGAGTGCTCCATCGGGCATGTACATGGCTCAATTGCTCAGCCGTACGGTATATAAACACAACCTCAATATGTTTCCCACGCGTTTCAGTGAGCTAGTCTGAAAAACAACCAAAAACGGATTACACTCAAATTCTCAGTATCCTCTCCTCTCTCCTTCATCTCACTCTCATCTCTCCACCCTCTGCGCCGGTTGTTATTCCGCACCTCCGCAGCAAAGCCCACGGGTGCCGCGTGCGTCATCGCGGCGCCGCGCTCGTGCAGGCGATCCAAGTAGCTTCGCACCTTTCCACCGACCGAGACACCGTGCCTTCCACCGTGGCACTCATGGTGGACATCATTAAACAGCGAACGGTTCTGGAGTGGCCGCATGGACATCAAACGAGCATAATATTATCCAACAAACGTAGAAGATCGCAACCGAGTAATATACTGAAGTAATCAAGGCAAAGCACGAAGTCACTGCAAAGCAAACGGCACACATACACAAGTAACACCGTAGCAACTGCAGCCTCCTTTTCCTATAGGTAGGAATCATATAGAAAACATGATGATATAAGATTGTACAAGTACGAACATATGTCTCTCGCTTCCGAGTATTCGAATTCTCTTAGAACAAAAACACTCAGCCCATTTTGGGTCACGAGAACTCGTCTGACTCGGTCACTTCCGCCTCCGTGGGGAGCGAGGAGAAGAAGGCCCAGGTCTCCTTCCGCACCGAGGCCTCAGCGAAGCGGCGAGCGGCGGAGCACCGGTCGACCGGTGGCGGGTGGGTTTTGGTGGGAAACGATCTGGTTTGGTGGTGTGAAAGCCGTAAAACAATGGTTGTTCAGGAAAGGCGATGTTCAAAAAATAGGTGGTGGGACTTCTATAGGGTATGCCATATTGATACCGTATGAACTCTTTCGATGAACATGTCATCTTCCAAGTTGATGGACATGAACGCGCGGAATGAGGAGACAATTCTGCGGATCCCACAAAACTTATGCCACTCATGTATCAAATCAGAATAGATTTGGTCTTGTTGCGACTTCCTGCTTTAGAGATACAAAATGGTTGCAACTCAATATCAGGCTCACAAACATAGTCTACATAGTGTTTAATTATATCTGGTGTATGGCGGCCAGTTCGTTGTGGTTCTGTACAGGAAGGTTCCTCCAAAAGACAAGTAACATGTCTATATTCCTAGCCAACATGGGTCCAAAGGCCCTATCAAGGCTCGATTTCCGATGCTTCTTCGATGTCCGACATCAAGGTCTTTTTAAACCCCACGGCTCGGCCTCGATGACGAAGATGTTTTTAAAGGACTTCGCGCGGCGCCTGAAGAACGTCAGACTCTCAGACCACTGCCAAACATCACGGCAGTTCTTCGTGTTTTTTCATTTGTGAAGGTTTTCTTCAAACTGCTGGTGTGTTCAAAGGATATATTGGCTATCTCACCATCCCAAGTGCAGGGCGCAGTGTAATTATATTATCTGTCTTCGCCTGCTGGCATGGAGAAATCTCCACTTTCCTTCCAGAAAACTGGAACTTCGAGACATCAGAAAGCCGAAGTAAATATATGACTTTGTGCGCTGAAATGTTCTACCGCGCATCTTCCATCATCCATCACTTGGATCTTGGTAAAACAGGGAGATTCCCAGACTCCAGCACCATCAACGAAGGGGAGATCCAGGAACACACATCTTGATAGACAGGACTCTTGTTCGAACTAAAGCAAAGCCGCGAATTCCTCACATTTACCGACCAAAGCCTGCTAAAATACGACCAGGGTCCTAGGCGCAAAGGGAACACGTTCATTGTTCAGGAAGGAATTGTTACTTTCATCACCTCTGTCCTGACTTGCATCCACACGGCATTCGCGTGCGTTTTAGCGCCCCAGACGGCGCCTGTAGACCTCTGTGTCTTGTTGGTACTGTGCAATGTCCGGAGCCGCTGTAGCCTGCTGAGGCGAAGGGGAGGCTGGGAGGGGATTTCAACCACCTGAGGTGGAACAAGGATAACACATGACAAAGGTGTTATCTACCAGGAAGTCGGCGCTATCCCGTGCTTTCAAAAAGCTTGGACCTAGGTGTTCACTGAAGAAACACGTCTTTTCGCTGTCCCATGGCAACTGGTATCATGATTCTGATCAACAGTATACTTGAGCTATGAATCCAAAGGTGCCTTCTCTTTGGGTGCACCGTTTGTCCAAGCAGCCGTTGAAGACCAGTTGCAAGAAACTGGGCACTTATCTGAAGAGGTCATAGATCCATCCGACCACAATCCTGTGTAGGCTTCACCTGCAAAGCGGTTTAGGCGCGCCTCTGGTGCCATCAGGGGGGCACCAGCATCGACCTGCACCGCGCCCAGAGGACCAACCAGTTGGTCGAGGACTTGGTCACGTGGTGTAACGTTGCGGCCAAAATGACAGATTAAATATATTTAAGTAATATAGATGGGCCAAAATCACAGACAACTTGTATTGATTCTAATACAACACTGCACCGACAGAATCCACACCGCACCCCAACTCGTTCTCCGCAAACAGTACCACCGACATGATAAGTTCATCGGCGCAACGATCCTTCAGGCCCTTTTGATCCCGGCAGACGCCACGATGGTTCTGGAGAGTTTTTTCTTGGGGCCAGTTGATCAAAACACCAAAACACGGAAATGGGCGCAAATCTGCCACTGTCTGCCACATTCTGCCAAATCAAACAGAAACGAGTATATAACGTAGAAGCCAGTGCTTGTGACGCTTGTGTTAACAAAAACTCTCCATATATGCCTAAGAATTTGGGCCCGTACCCCTGCGTTTGGGCTCCCAAAAAGGGGAACATATAACAATCAACAAGCCTCGCAATGCCTCCCAACATCGATATCAAAAAAAAAACAACCGAAACCCCACCACCGAAACCTCCGTTCCGAACCTCTCCCGCACTAGACTCCGACCGCCTCCCGCCCCCCGGGGGTCCGCCGAGCGAAGGCTCCGACCTCGGCGCAGCGCTCCAGAAAGGCCCGGCGGAGCGCATCGGGCAGGAGCCTCGGCCCGTGCGCAGCGGTGTCACCGCACGAAACGGGCTGCCAGCGGGGTCCACACTGAGACCCGTTCCTGTTTGAGACAAGGGAATCAGCTATCAGAGGGCTTGTGGGTATAGGGAGCTAGCTTTCATCTTTCCAAAGCAGATTCTGAGATGTGGTGGAAAAGAAACCACTGTGAGGGTGTTGTGTCACTAAGAGCAGGGACTTTTTGGAATGTAGATGTGAGTGGTCAGCACAGCTGCTTCGTTCACCAAGGGATCATTTGAACAAAAAGGCTCCTCAGCTGAGTACCCCTCAGCTGAGTAGCAGTCCTCATCTTGCAACGGATCTAAGGATCCGTCGTTCCTCTTTTTTTGCTATCATATGCCTGAGATAAAACAGCGTCCCTGGGTCCTAGACAGTATACCGCAAACTTGCTGCCCAAAAAGGAACTACCCTTATCTACCCTCAGCTTTCGTCTCAGAAAAAAAACAATCTAGAGAATACATGACTGCATAGGGCCATTGCAAAATTGCAATCATAATAAGCCCTGGAATAATAACCTGAAAACCTGAAAACTCCTGGGTTGTAGAGGAAAATCTACTTCCAAGGGTCCTAGCAAGTCCTCGCAGCCTGAGCATCTTGGCGATCCCGCCACTCCATTGCTCCAACCAACCCAGAAAGAACAAGCATGAAGGACCTCCAGGCTTCCCACAAGACCTCCAGGTGTTACCGGTCGCACTGGTCAGACCGTGACAAGAAGCGGAGAGGCCGCTAAGCAAGGTGTCACCAACTCGCATTCCTCCTGGTCTCGCCGGTCGATAAAGGAGTGGATTCCAAAGCACTTATGAAAGGATTCTGAATGCTGAGTTGTTTCACATCGATCTTACCTGCAAAACGGAAGTTGGGCAATGTATGGCAATGCATCTGGCCAGTTGTAGGAGGTTGTCGACTCTTCTTTGCTGAAGGCAACCCCGATTCCCACTGATCCCAACTGTTTATAGAGTTTTGAATCCACTTCACTATTTTGTTACCAATGAAGTTCTGCAACTGAGTACCTATGCAGCTTGAACAAAACAGAAGCAACATTCTACAGTGGGCCATCAGAGTAGATGGCACAGACCCCGAGATGTTTTTTAGACGGGGGTCCATATAAAATACATCTTGGGGTCTGTGCCATCTACTCTCAATCCACTATGTAGAGGGAATCTGAGGCAATGCCAGGTCGCATGAGTCACATAAGATTGAACTATTATATATCCTGAGATATCTTGAGAACTGTTCCATGCTTCATATAAAAACTCCATTTCAATTTGAGAGCGAAACCGTGCCACTTGGAGTTGAGCACCCCTCCATCTTTAAACCAATCATTGAATACTGTGTTGAAAACTCTTCGTAGCTCACAGTTCACATGGGTTTGTAAAGGCCCCACAAGCGAACTCAGCCTTCATGACTGCCACGCACTTGCACTGGGAAGGGAGACAGGAATTACTGGTGGGCATTGGGTCTAAACCACTGGCACTGGATGATGTTTGTTGAGAACCCTTGTGAAAGTAGACATAAAGTTTTCTCTGCCGTGGAAATGTACACCCGAGGCTTCCAAAAACAAAAAACACAACAAACGGGAAACAATAACACAAAAAACACACTATGTCCTGCATGTTTGCAGGAAAAATCAGGAGAATCACCCTTACTTTCATTACAACGACTCCTGCGACCTATCAAAAGGTCGGTGCATTTCACTACCAGAACCAGAACCTTTTTTCCCCCCACGTGCTGCGTCTATGACCGGAACCGTACCTGGGTGAAGTTGGGGATGGCAATGGCGATCTGCTCCTGGACAAGAATGCTACTAGTAGTTCGTGGCATTACTACTAGTAACAAGAAACTACTAGGAACAAAGGGCATCGCTACTAGTAGCAAGAAACTATTAGTAGCTGCTTTCAGGATCTTTCAGGGTGCGAAAACGTGGTTTACATTCGAGTGACCTGATGGCAACAAGTGAGAGTGAGGGAGAAAAGAGTCTGAAATCCCACAATTCACACGAACTCAAAGGCCAGGAATGGCCACAAGTTATTTCTTGTCAAGTTAGACACCCATGAACTCATCCAGAACTCAAACCTCATGGTTTGATCTGAGCTAGCCATGGTCACCCATGAAAAAAAACTTCACCACAACAACCCCAAAGCGTCTTTCTTGTCGTCTGTATCGTTTTTTCCGGTGCACCCAGCATTTGTTTTGAATGCCAGTTTCGGTGCTCTCACCGAGATTCTGAGGGGGGAACTTCAGCAGCAATTTGACAATGGGCCCCCGAGGAGCTGAATGTGTTTGATGTAAAGAAAACTGAGAAAACAGTTTGGCACATCTGTGAAAAACTTACCGCTTGGCCAGTTGGAGATTCGCGCCCTCAAACCAAAAAGAATTGTCAAGAATTCAGCATGATAAGTCGACGAAACGACAGAGTTGAAGGGTCCCATCAGGGACACAAACCGGTCAATCCAAAGTTAGAAAAAATTAATTATCTGGTTATTGCATGTACAAATTCTAATTGTACAATATTAAAAACGAAATCATAAGGAACAATAGATCGTCATGTTATATAATATGTATGTACATATAGGCAAAAACGTGTATAGCAAATCTATATATATATATGGCACCCCCCAAAAAAAATCGGGAGGTGGGGGGGTACCAACAAATCTGAATCTGCAATGTGAATGTGGCATCTGATCAAAGCGCTAAATGAACATCCTCCTACATCTGATCAAACATATGTATAAACTATATATTGCTACTTTTTGGAGCCTGCCAAGGAATTTGCAACCCTTGCTGCACGTCATATTGAAAATTCCCTGGCAGGCTCAGAAAATCAACAATGTCAAAAACCCATGGCCACAAAACCCTGGCAGTCAAAAAAAATCAAAAGTTGGAGGATCTATGGGGACTCTGGGGGGTTGTATTTTTTTTGAGCCTGCCAGTGTTTTTGCAAGGTGGTGTAAACCAATGCAGCAAAAACACTGGCATGCCCAAAAAGTATAGAATATATACCCCCAAAGCCCCCATAGATCCTAAAACTGTTGTTTTTATATTTTTGAGCCTGCCAGTGTTTTGTGACTATTGGGTGTTGAATTTTGTTTTTTTGAGCCTGCCAGTGTTTTGCAAGGTCGGGTAGACCAAAAATTGCCAATTCCTTGGCAGGCTCATAAAAGGAAAATCATATACCCCCCCAAAAAGTTCCTATAGATGCTAAATTGTTTGAACCTGCCAGGGTTTTGTGACTATGGGCCATTGAATTTTTTGTTTTTTTTGAGCCTGCCAGGGAATTTGACATCTCTGCTCCATCTGGCCTAGCGAATTCATCGGCATGCTGACAAGATACGAAAATCTACCCCTGTACTGGTATAGACAGAAAGACCTTTGGGAAGCGACCGGAAAGCTTTGCACTTGGGAAATGAGAAATTTCCTAAGAACAGCGTAGTGCATGTTGATCGATGATGAGATCTGCAACGCAAAATGAGCTGTTTGTGCCAATGCATCCAAAGGCTTCATCTACCACTATCACATGGTTTGTTGTACATCTGCTTGGCCATCTACTAGAACAAATCTGCTTTCAATACATCTGCTTTATCATCAAGGACAACTCTCACATACAAGCAGGAAATTTGTCTGAAAACGTTGTTTTTTTGGGGTAGCACATATATATGTATACATATACATAGCATTAAATTGAGTTATACATGAAGCATTTTCCCGATCAATCGCCTTTTGTTTCCCGTTTCAAACACTCCGGGTAAGGGGCTCCAGGTCTTACATCATCCCCTCCAGTAATTTTTGTCTATATAATGGATTTGGGTTTTGTGGGGGTGAATTTTGTGAATTTCCTTCCATCTCGCTTTTGAATTGTTTTTTCTCTTTGCAGGCCACATTCCCAGTGCACCTGCACCATAGCCTGAAAATGGGTATATGGTATACACACCGAAAGCCGTGGTATTTAACCAGTTATGATCTTCGAAGGTTGCGCCAAGAGGAATATCAAGTGACCATACTAAAAAACATGCGACAAGTCTGATGAAATTGTGGAAAGGCGAAGGTATTTGGGTGTAATCATGGGCCAGAACACCCAGAAAGGAAGGGCCTCACTCAAGACATAAAACAAATTCCGAAAGAAATCCACACCCAGCCATGTGCTGGGCACCGTCTGTCCTGGTAGACGTCCATGAACCGACTGGGGTGTTTCGCCCCAAGCTGCGCCAAAGAGTTCCTAGCCGGAACAATCACGTCAAGTGGCAAGCCGCGCAGAAGATTCTGGTGAATCTGCCACTCAGATCGCAATCCAACGTCCGTCCCCTCAGCAATTCGTGTTGTTTACTCATGTAAACCGTAAACCTCAACTAGTTGCATGTTTCATTGTACAGTGGTAAGCAGTATGCACCAAGATTGTGTGCTCAAACGAAGCTGTCGACTTGCTACAACGTGTAGTAGCAAGAAGTATCTTGTCAACACTAAAGCAAGGACTGTAGGAGTGTCAGTCATGTCCCGCCGGCATCCTTTGTCTATGACCCACCCCCCTTCTGGTCAGCGCCCTGCCCCAGGCAGACCCTATCTGCACCAACATTCGGGCACTGAACGGCGCCAGGGCCGGCTTCGGCGCAGCCTGGCAGGTAGATCAACATGGCTGGGCCAAGCTGGAAGTCAAGCGAAGCCGCTCCAGTGGCTCGGCAAAAGTTTGGCACGACATAATTAAAATTTCTATGCCCTTCATGCACTGCTAAAAAGGCGCGCCGCGATCACCAGAGGAAATGTCAAGCTCCATCACACCAAATGGACGACAGATCCAAAAACAAAAGCCGCCAACTCCTTCCGCACAGACTCCGTCGATTTTCTTAGAGGATGATCTGGCAACCACAGGCACGTCACTTGACCGAAGAGCTTCAAATGTGTAGCGCAGTGGACTGGATCGAGAGCCCACAATCGGATTTTCGTCTCTGACTTTACACTTCGGAATTGAACAACCTGGCAACCAGCACAGAGCCCTGGAAAGGTTCGTGAGTCAAACATGACCACCAGCACAACTATAGAACTTAACCCGGAGAGGCGCGCCGCAAAGAAACACACAACGCTCACTGGCTCACTGCTCTTGCAAGGTGCAACCAGGACAAGCCTTCACCTGATCAAAAGAAACAACTTTGTTCAGCGCTTGCAATATCGGTTTCTCCACACTTCACCATGTTTCTGCGCTGGTCTGCGGAAGTCAGAAACTATACCGCCAGCAACGAACGGCCACGAGTCGCCGAGTCGCCGAGTCGCGCGCGTCGACTCGTACGAATGTAGGCAGCCCCTGCTTCGTGGAGAGCACTTGCAAGAGAGAATGTACATGAGAGCAAACGAGATGTATGAAAACGTACATACAACACACATGAGCATGAGGAGCACATGAAAAAGCACATGTGAGAACATACACAGAAAGAACATGCCTTTGAGAGCATGTGAGAGCACACAACTGGGGGGCACACATATGAGAGGATACGCATGCGTGACGAATATGAGAGCACTCATAGAGAGAGAGAGAGAGTGATATATATATATATATAGAGAGAGAGCACACATACGAGAGCACGTATATGGGAGCATACATGTGAGGCACACATAAGAGTCCACGAACATGTGAACACATATTACATATATATATATATTAAACCACACATTTGAGAACACACACGCACATGAAAGCACAGACCCCGAGCATACGCATCAAAGAACACACGAGCGAGCAAACACATAGGAGCACAAATAAGAGCACGCATAGGCGAGCAAAATGTCCGAGTGCACATGAACGCCCATAGAGAGCACATGCGCACAAAGTTTTCATGCAAGAGCACCCATTCGATAGAGCACACACGCGCAGACATGTGAGTGCAGACACATGAAAGCACACATGAGTGCACAGCACAGTGTTTGGAGAAACACAAAAAGCTGCAGCAAGGACGGTCTCCAATAGCTACTCTTCTTGGTGCCCATATTATAGCTACTCTTCCTCCTCAGAAGCTACAGGTGTCAAATGGTTCAGTTTTGCTGCAACTCAATAGCACTTGCAGGTGAGGCTGGGCTGGTCATCGTTTTTTCCGACGAACGCTGATCGAAATGAAGGTCCCACCGACCACACGGAGGGTTTCCCGGCTACCGTTCCTACGGTCGGGTCCCTCGGAAGGGTCCGACCCAGGTCGGCGCCAATTCGGCTACCCGGTACCCCTACGTCCTATACCTCTAAAGAGGCAGAGGTCGAACAGGACGCTCCGACGGTCTGAACCATGTTCATCCATGATCTGGGGCTCAAAAGACAAATGAACGATCTGTGGACCCAAACATCGTTTCTGCATGTGTCTGTTCTTCTGCATTCGCTTGAGCTCGGAAACTGAGGGGATGAGGGCTCGTGAGCTCGGGACTTGGAAGAAGTTGGTTGCACTCAGCGTCTATTTGTATGGAGCCCCTTGCTGCTCAAGACAGGCGCTGGATGCAGGATACAAAGAGTCGGAGCCCAGCTGATTTCTGGCAGAAAGTCATGGATTCATGGATAATGGCTATATGCAATAATAGCTTGCTAGAGTTCTCCCCGGAGTGCATTTGTTTTTAGCCCCATGTTGGCCCAAAAGTCCTTAAAGGCAGGTGGTGCTGAGTGGCGCCCCGCCCCCCCACCTCAGGTCGCCACTCCCCGACGTCACCAGCCTTCACTTCCAACTGTTCCTTCGGATGTCGCCGGACTTTGCAGCGGTTCGTCCGCTGGGCACGGATCATGTTCATCGCCTGCGGAGCGCGACCGCAGCGGTGGTGTGCAGCGGCACGAGGCGATGGGCTGCACTCGGGTGATACGGCGAGTCCCAAGTAGGTGTCCAGTTGATGTCATACGGAACCAGGACCAGGAAGACTCCGGTTCGGGCCTTTCTGGGCTGAAAGAAGCAACGATTTGAGTGAACATGACTATGTGTGAACATCTATGAATTAGCTTTTCTGTAGCGCCAAACAAACAAGCACCAAATCCTAGACATTCCCCTGTTCGTGGACAAGTTTAGACGCCCAAAATCACCCATCCAATATCCCTTGTTGAGATCCTTAAAGAAGAGGATTCCGGGCGTGCCAAAAACAGCGTGTGCGTCGATATCGTCTGTGAAATGAACATCAAAAAGCACCATCTGCAAGACTTGAACGCCATGAGGATCGGAATCACATCGCCCTCCACCGCTGTGGGGAGACTGGCACACGCGGAGACCGACCAGTTGACCTACCTAGCGTCCGTCTTTCGCTCGCTCGGCACATGGTGGACGGGTCGGGCGAACATGGTGCCTCTACACGCTGGCACGGCTGGTGGCCACTTCTACACGCTGGTCTGCCTCCATGGAGAAAAGCTCCAAGTACGTCTCCTCATTAAGACGTAGCTTCCATAGGAGACCTCAGGGTGCAAGGCAGGAAACCGCAGCCGAGAGCAAGGAACAATGCGCGTTGAGCTTGGTTTTGTGCAAAGTGAATGAACACATGAAATTATCATTCAGGACACAGGTCTTGAAGACATCCTCAATGGAACGATTGGTTGGTTCGAAGCTGTCCCAAGCGCGATCAATGTTCCCAGGTCGGTCGGCACAGTCGGCAGGCCAAATCAACGCGACGGGTGTCATTGGGAGGGTGTGTTGGTCAGCGACAAGTCGTCTCCGTTTGAGTTGATGGATCGCCCCTAGGCGATTGGGTCGATTGAAAACTGCAGGCATCTACTTCCAAACGTGCAAGGACGGAAGATGACTCAATGATTTGACTGCCACTTAGAAGGTCGCAATTGAGTTCTGGCCTGGCCTTGAGGGGCCAAATGATTCTTCTGTGAGATGGTATATCAGATCAGTTCACAGTATTTAAAAAGCAATATAATCTCCAAACATCTTGCCACAAACACCCATGCCGGCCCATGCCCTGATCTGTTTCTGGTTGTCTTTGAGTGGCCACTGGGCAACCGTTCCCCTAAGTGCGATCAACGATTCCTACCCCCCCCCCGCGCGCGCGCGCGCGGAAAGGTCCTAGTAGATTCCTTTGCTAGTAATTACAACTCTAATTAAAGTCTTATTGTTACTAGTAGTAAGGCACTTGTTCCTAGTAGCTTCTAGTTACTACTAGTAAGGCACTTGTTACTAGAATCCAAAAAGTTCATCTGTGCCGTCTGAACCGACCAGCGCATTGACCGTCCTTCGGCTCGTCCGGCTCTTCCCACGCGAAGCGACGCAGGCACTTCGTCAGCATCTCCGCGGAAATGCCCCTGACCTGGCCGTGTCGGATCGTCGTCCAAGGGACTGGTCGAGAGCCCGGTCTGAGCCTCCGCCCAACAGTGACAAACACCATGGCAAGGAGGCAGATTGTTTGCATTCATCTGCCCATGCCCCCTTTTCTCCTTTCCCTGTCCTTCTTTCCCTGCATCCAAGCTGCTTGGACGGGAATTTCACCCAAGATGGAAAGGTACAGCGCATGGTCCTCGGCGGACCGGTCGTCCATGTCACCGACCCTCGGATCTGTTGACCGGTTTCTCCAGGTTCCGATCTGAGAATTCGAGCGAGTAGCTGTGGATTGTCTCAATAGCTGTGGATTTCTCCAGTTTTAATATAGCGCTGAGTCAAAACTCACTCACTCACCACACCTCACCTGAGCTCACACTGTCACTGTCTCCTCACGACCAGTCCTCGTGGGGTCCAGAAGTGGTTGTCAAACTAAGTCCGGTCCTGATAGCCCGTGGCCGAGAAGAGCTTCAGTGCACGCACCAGTTGCTCCTGAGTGTGGACATGGGAGGCTTTGATCATTCCCAACCGGTCCAAGCAGTCCTGAGAAAAGTACATCGTCAGGTTGGTCCAAGCACAGGATTGAAACACACTCGAGCTGTTGCAGTTCCTCGAACATCTGCCATCACCTAAAGCCCCTGGCAGCAAACAAGCCAAACATCTTGTTCTGACACAATCCCGTGCCAACCTGATCACTTCCCTTGTTCTCAAAGATGTGTGACATTGACATTTGGAAGGGTCGCTGGTAGTCTTACACTCCACATGGAGCAAGCAAAGAGGGTGCATCTTAGGCGAGCAGCTACCTGGACCTTCTAAGGTTGTCCAATGAAGATCCAAAGTATGTATTTGTGGGTGTTCCATTTGCGACCCCTTGGACGATTTGGAAGGTACTGGTACAAACTGGTACCCATACTACATCATAATACTGTATATGTGTTTCTCCTTATGCAGGTCAGGACCAACGTCACTTAAATTCAACGTCATGCAATAGAAACCTTTACAAAGCGCACATGATTTTGCACAAACCTGGACAGCTGAGGGACATCCATCCGTTGGTTCATCAACACATGCATCGGTCTGCGATTTTGACATATTATGTTGACAAACCCACTGAAAAGCCCAAGGGATTTTCAACCAAACGTCCCTTTAAAAACTGACCCCCAAAGAAGACAAAGTACGCCTTCGCAATAGCTCCTCAGGCGTGAACCGCCACTCTTTCACTCCGTTTCACTGCGTTCCCACTCCGTCCCCGACCGAGCATCCAAGTTCATCGTGGGCAACAAAGGCTTCACTCGCTGCGAGAGCTCCTGAGGTCGTCGCAGAAAGGACGAGCTCTGGTCGAACGTGTTGACTTGACGCCTCCCACCAGAGCTGGTGGAACACAGAACATTGACCTCCCGCAAGTCCCAAGGCCGCTTTCACGTCCAAAACCCATCCGATCGCCAGGTAAAGTGAGACAAAATGGTTTGTCCAAAGATCACAAAAAATCAGGGGAATAATCACTGAACATCGCAGAATGTGTCTTTTGGAATCACCGAGGTTTTGCAAACTATACCTTCAATGACTTCTGCCAAATCTACCATCTGCCATCCCATCCAATCTCGCGCATCGAATCAATGGTCCTTCAACTCATTCTGCGGCAGCTTCCTTGATGCACAGCGCCCGACAGCGCAACTGAAAACTGTCGAGTCATCGTGTGGAGGCTTCTGCCAAGGGAGGATCTGGAATAGAGAACGCAGGGCGTAATGGGGAGTACTCTTGACCATCCACAGAAAAGGATTCTTCTAGAGTCGAAAGTGCTATGGAGTGCGGACAAGTGTTGTGACAAAGGCAGGATGTTTCTTTGGGCGTCATGAAACAACAACACTGAAAAAGAACATGGACAAAAAACATCCCAATGGGTGGAAGGGTCTGCTGATTTTTTTGTAAAGAAAAGCACCTGGACATCTGTCTCCACCCTTGGGCCAAGCTGAAGCCGAGCTTCTCCCCTGCTTTGTGGCGGCTTCTGGCCGATTCCAACTTGCCAAACACCTCGGCCTCGTCAGGTCCCGGAGGCTTCGGTCCGGCGGGTCGCCGAAGTCATATCACATGAGATGACAAAATCCAAGTTTTCTTCGTTCATTGTTGTGTATTTGGAATGTTCACGGCAAATCCGAGAAGAATATATAAACCATATTGGACTTGTGCAAGGGCTTGGTGGGCTTGGCTTCGCAAGAAAAAACCAAGAGCTTCCACATTCAAAGACTGAATGATAAAGAAGAAACTCGAGGCTCAAAAATGCTCAACAAATTGCTTGGCAAGCCAAGAGTTGAAACGAAATCGGCACATCTCAACCATGTTTACAAAAACGACCGATTGCGGAAAACAAACACAAGGGATAGAATTCAACACTTTGTTCTATGATACTGAATATTTACATATTAGTCAATCAATTCAAGAGCAGTCTGACTGGAGTTCTCGAACGCTGTGTCGCGCAGCTAATTGCGAACAGAGGTGACGACCTTCGACCCGCCTCAGAGGTGACGTCAGAGGCCTGTTTGGAGACCTTGGCACTCTTCGCCAGCACCTCCCGAGTCGGACGCCACCCCGCCGGGCAGCACCGCCCAGACGTGCGAATGGGGCCGGGCATCGGAGACTAGGTTGCGTTGGCTGAAAGGCAAGCTGGAAGGAGTGACGACAAGAATGGAAGCATTTCAAACAAATTAACGAGGGAAGGAGTCACTGGGCGAACCCGTGCCTTCACACATGCACCAAACCGGTCTCATGCCAAGGTCCATAACCGCTAAGAATTTCCAGCGGGCCATGCTCAACTGAGCTGTTCCGCCCGATTTTGATTCATAACTTGTAGCGGTTGGTTTTCGCGTCCGGACATCTCTAAGAACCTCTAACAAATGAACCATGTTGATTGCTGGCAAAACCTCAAGACGTTCCAACTGCCCGGAGCAGGGACATGCAGGACTTTGCAACAATCTTTTGAAGATATTTAAGAATGAATTACTAGTAGCAAGGGCATTACTACTAGTAGCAAGAAGCTACTATAGTAGCTTTTTGCTACTAGTAGCTTAATTAGGCATCCTTCCCAAGGAACGGCGAAAAACCCAACCGCGGTGTTCCCGTGCAGCGATGGACCGCCACGGTGCCGCCTCTTGCAAAGAAGATTCGTCCTTCCTCAGTCGATGACCTGCGCGAGACAAGCCGCACGCATGACGGTCGACCTCGGGGGCAATCTCGGACGTCTTGGGAACAGGATTCCTTCTGCCTGTCGGGGTTTGAGCGGCATTTTCTCTGCCAGCTGTTGGGGTTGAGCTGATGGGCTCAACCTTCAGTATATAAAATCACACCGAATCGCAGATCCTTCCGCAGCATAAAGAGTCTTTGAGCTTGCGGTTACTGGATCTTGCGATGCCGCTTTCGAGATCGGACGGGTGGGCAATGAAACAGGACTCTGAATGCATGCTGAAAGTTGAGGTGGTTTTCCGATTTCCGTGTAGGTAGTTGTAAAGTGGATGCAGAACCAGTGGCTACGGGACACCTTCATAGTCTGTCATGATCCCTTTAGGTTTTTGACCCTCGATGAGATCCCCACTCAAAAGGCGACATGGTACTTTTGCTCACGGTGCTTCATTTGAACCAACCATTCCATTCCAAAAAATCAATGTTTATGTGTTGGGTCTATTCTTTCACCTGTAACTAGTGGATTCTGGTTAGTAAAGGCCTTGTATAAAAAGGATGATATTTGTTTACTGACTCTTACAGGTAAGTTCGGACAGACCCGATTTATGCATATACCAAAACATATTTTAAAAGAAAACACCCACAGCCAGCCGACCCGTGTCCCACAGCGCCGTGCCTTCGTTCACCTGTTCGTGCATCACATCATCTTCTAGCCACGAATCGATGGCCCGGATCTGTTCACCTGGCGCTACGAAGCGATCCGCTACTCGACTCGACTCCCGACCGGGGAGGTAAGTGGATCGGGGTTCCGAAGGTTTCGGACGTTACACACGGGCTGGGGTGTATGGTCGCTCCAAATGGAAGAACCACGAAAAAATACGATATAACATGCAAGAAAAACATCAGAAAACTATACCAAACGAAAGAGATAGATTGTTCAAGGCTTAACTTTTGGCTCACAGGAGAACACAACGTGAATGCAACTCTCGGCCGAACACACTAGTTGAAGTGGAACAACTGAGAAAAACATCATCAGTGACTCCGTGAAACCCAGTCGACACTGGATTATTCCCAAAAATGGAGCCGCTTTTGCGAAAACAATGATCTATATAGCCATATCTTGCCGTATGTGCCGTTATGACCTTTGCGAAACAGACCACTGACCACAAGACACCTCGAAGAACAATTCAATCAGGCCAAATAGTACGCCTCTGCCTGCTTGTTTCCACATGTGTGTGTGTGTGTCTCATGCGTAGCGTGCGACAGAGTGGGTGACCAGTCTCACCCTGCTACGGCCTGGGCGGCCTGGTGAGTGTCCGGTACGCAAAAACTTCCCTCCTCGCCACCAGCTCGCACTAGTTCATGCCAGCCACGAAGCTTTGAACGGTCAGGAAGGCTAAAGTCCTCGGCTGGCTCGGCTCTTCTCCTGGACAGTCCCGTGAGCCCCGTGAGATGAATCGCTCTGCTTTCAAGGCCTGACTTTCTCGAGTCTTCCCACACTCCTCCTGGAAAGAAGGGGTCGTGAGCCCTCTTCCATTATGCTTGGCTAGTTGGAGCTTGCTGAGTTTAGGCTGGCAGATTTGGCCAGCAGATACGACAGGCATGCCACAAGGCATGCCACAGATCTATCCAGATCTCAAGGTAAAAGAACAAGGCCAACAGAGAGCGTATTCTGCTTGAAGCTGTCGGACCTTCGTCTTTCAATTGGCCGTGCAGCATGCGTTCTTCAATATGAAGAATTGGGAAAAAATGGAGTTACCAGGATGAAGTGATGTGGTGACAAGGACTAGACTAGAGCGTTTTTTTGCCAAGATTGCTGAAACGAGCCCAGAACAAACGCACGTCAAACAGTCTGGAAACATTTCAAGTCGACCTGATGTCACTCTTGCAGGACTCAAACTGCAGTTCTGGATGATTTATTGCCAGTTTGGTTCAAGAGATGTGATTTCTGGGATCTCTTTGGCTCTTTGTTGGCTCCTCAATACAGGCCCGTATCACACGTCACCACGCTTCAAACTGTGAACATGTGGAAAAGCACTTGCCACATCAAGGTGGGTGGGCTTGAGCATTTTCCGGAATGGCAACGTGTCTGTTCTCGGACATCAAAACCAACCCCCTCCGCATGTGGTGCGAGGTTAGGACGTCCAAGAGAATAGAGTTTGTCCACAGTCATCCCTCGAAGTGGAAGGTGACGATGAAGGGCACAATATACAATATCTGAGCTGTGAGGATTTGCTTTCATTCACCCCTCTCATACTGGCTTAAGTTCAGATAAGTATTGAACTGAGACAGGAATCATACACTTGTGCAAGAAATCGAGATGATACTCACTGGCCCACTGGCCGTACTGGTCCGATTCCGCCGTGTTGAAAGGTCTGAGACGTCCCTTTCTTCCAGATGCCCCCAAGTCCTCGCTCGAAGGCTGTCAGTTCTCCTTGGCCGGGGCGGTGACTTGAAACACAACTTAAAACATGATCCCCCCAAAAGGAAACAGGGCTCCAAGTACCTTCTGAGAAGGCGTCTGGATGTGTTTGGGTGCCAGGCTGGCAGTGCCAGGAGGGTCCAAATACTCGAGGAGTTATGACTAGAGCCCTAGAGGTGACAGCAGATGTCTTGCCAATGCCCATCGTGGCAAAGGTGTGGTGAACGCGACGGGAGCGACTGCTGGTGCTTGCTCTATGCGTAGGGGGCATCTGAGGGCGTGGAAAGAGATTTGCTGCTTGCTAGTCTAAATGACATTTGAGGGCAAATCCTGTATGTTGTAATCATTTCCTGGCCCTTGGCAGCATCTATATAGGAACAGCAAAGCACAGCCTAGGAACAGTAGCATTGCAAGTCTCATCCATGTCAAGAAACCGAATGGTGTCGTTCACATGCTTCACCACACAAAGTACACACTCTGTACATCTCCGTACCGTGTTTGTTCCGGGGCGGGAAGTGACTCAGCCGCAAGAAACTTTTTGTTACCCGATCAGGATGAATAGGATCGATTCGGCTTCAGAACAAAAATCATCTCCTTAAGCCATTTGAGATACCAGGGTTCTTGAAACATTGATTTGGATCACTCTCCCTCTCTACCGCCACCTCTATCTCTACCTCTTTTTCTCTCTCTCTCTCTCTCGCTCTCTCTATTGATCAGTCACCCTTTCACACTCCAGGTGGTCGCTCTTCAAGCTGGAAAAACATGTCATCCCCTAACGGGGGACTATCAGGGGCTGCCGCTTGCTTGGAGATAGTCCAGCATTTCGATCATCTCCCAATGTCCCAAGCCTTTGTTTTGTCACCATGACTGACCAAGTGTTCGTGCTTCTTGGTACGGCACAAAGGATAATAAGAGCCTCGTCCTCACTTAGTTGACCCACCCACATCACCCGCCGAAACCAAGAAAGCATGGCCTTCTTAGAACTCGCGCGTGCAGAACGTGTGAACGTGTTGGGACTTTTTGGGCTCGCTTCGGCAGAGATCGACTGATCCTTTAGAACTTTGTCAAATCATTCATTGCCCGAGATCGGCCCTCAAAAACGTCATCAATTCACAACAGCTTCCACACCTCTTCTACGAAATCGTCCAAGCTTCGGTGTGGCAACACCGAACACTGCCACGCCACTGGCGAGTGCCAACTCGTGCGGCAATGCGTCTTGGACAAAAGGGATTGCACAGACCTGCCAAAAACACCTCACCCTTGCAGAATGGTGCAAAGGTGAGCAATCCTGGCAACTTTCTACGGACTTAGGTTGTCCATCTGCTTTCCTGCACCAGATCTATCAACCATGAATGATACGTTTCGCGGAGGCGCCTTAAGAGGCCCTCCCCTTCGTCTTGCAGTGCCGAATGAATCAACCCCCTCGCTGGGTCCATGGATGCACACCAAGCGTTCTGACACCAAACAGATGCACAATCCTCCTCCATCCTCCTCCTTTTCGTCCTGTCCTAGTGATCAAGTGATCAGCCCTGACATAGCCCAGCGCTGGGGACGAATCCGGGTCTCCCAAAATCCACTGCGACGGGTGTTTGGACCGTCGACACCAGAGTTAACAGTCGACAGAGTTCCTGTCTTTTGGTTTTGAATGGTTTTGGCCTACTCGAACCGTGTCCACAGAGAAATCCAATCCTTTAAGCCGCCCTTTAGCAAGTCCATGCTGCCGAGACCACAAGCAGCTGGAGAAATCACGGCTGCTCTGGAAAGAAAGCACAGCTACGAAATTCCAGAACACGAGCTGGGCTTTGGGGAACGGATGAAGAAGTGTGCTGGGAGGGTTCACATCACGATGCAGGCGGGTCCACGTAGCTTGGTCCAGGTCCGATCCCAACGTCTTCAGTGCTGATCGTCAATGCGTCTGACACCGGTCTAGGGGGTGGGGAGGACAGTCCTCATTCTGGTGAACCGGCGTGTTGAAGCAAGAGTTGCTTGGCTCGACCTCTGTTGGGTGGGTTCTCAAATCCTCTGAGTTGTTGGTGAATGTTCTTGAGCAACACAAATACTTTGCTGAGGCTTCAACCCAATGGCGGTATCATTGGCATCCGTTTATTGAAATCTACCATTTTACTAAATACCAAGGCCACCCTGTGGATGCCGGCCCGCAGTGGTCGGAAAAGGCACACGTCCGTTCCTGAAGTAGCCCCCTTCCCAGCAGAGAAGAATCACCAGTGGCATCCAAAGATCATCTACATCCATGCGGTACTGGGTTCAGCATCAGATGGTTTACTCAAGTCACTTCCCATTCTTTAAGTGTTATACGAGCACTGGAATGATATGAAGGAAGTCACTTGGGGCACTCATTATGAAGAAAGAAGGAAGAGGGTGAAAACCAGGTGCCTTCCTCTCATGGGAACACATGCTTCGCTAAGCGATGCAAATTGCTCTCCGACAAAGGCGCCTCCAAACAACGAAGACGCCTTCGCGCTGACGAATGTTGCATCCCTGCGCATGGCGGCTTTGGGATACCTTCGGGAACAAGAAGAGCAGGCCAAGTGCTTCCGGGGCCAGTCTGTTGGACAGTCATATATCCCAAACGAGTCAAGCAATCGATGAACTTGCTGACACCCTACGTGTACATCAGCCTTCCCGTCTGGTAGATCCTGGGATATCCTATGTGAGGTGGTCGAGGCAAGCTGTCCATCGACAACACCGTCTACATTTACACATTGGACAAGGCATTTCTATCCGTCGTTTGCAGAAGGGAGTTGTCCGCCTATCCACAAAGAAGTGACTTCCGCTGGTCCCAAGAGATCCAGTCGATGGGTTCCCATTGGTAGCTGTGCTCAACATAGGTAGGCTGTGCAGGACTCAAGTTGCATCACCGATCCCCTGAAGTCCAAGGGCCCCAGGACTGCTCTCGGAAAAAGACTATAGCACATGATCAGCCTGCGCAAGTACTGGATCCAAAGTTCTTTGATAGACAGTAAAAGGATGTAAAAGTAGAATTAGAACCCTAAGTGCATGCCAAAGCCATATAATATATGAAACTAGTTGTGTCCATCCGTCAATTCTGTATCATAATTAATGTATAATGTATCTCACACTGAACCACTCGCTCGAGCAATCGCTGGTAGCGGAACGGTTTGCGGTGCATGTCAGCGGGTCATTTGGTTCAGCGGAACCTGGTTGACCAATGAACCAAATGGCAGAAATCTGTCTCGATATCATGCGTCCAGGAGTAGTGTTGAGGGGTCATACAAACATGACTCACAGCTACAAGCCACAAACCTGTGGACGCTCCTGTTGGACACCAAGAAAAAAGTGCAACATAGATGCAGAATGAGCCAACTATAGCCAACTTCTTGCTTAGATGTTCTTTGTAACAAGGGGCATAATGTTCAGCCTAAATAAAGTTACTGTAGGTGGATTTTTTGCCCAATGAAGATCTAGGTATATGTTCAAGGTCACGAGATTCTTTCAGGCTCCATTCGGATGATTGAAATAAAAGGACATGTCCATCACTCTAATCCAGCTTTGGGCTCCTTCTTCCATGTTCTTCATAAGAAGAGTTCTAAAATAAAAAACTTAACAAGAAGATTGACATCTTCATCATCGCATCTCTCTTCGTTTCAGAGCCTTGGATCACTGCTAGTTCGCACCGCCTGTTTCAGGCGGAGAGCGCTGCACAGCCAGATCGATGGCTCCGCGTCTCATCTTCGGCCCCGACTTGGCACGTTGAAGACATGAACGGTTGGACTTGCAAAAACAACGAATTGGACTCGCGCCTTTTGGAACGTCAAACATGTTGTAGTTCTAGTACGGGCTTGGATGAGACAAGCCACAGGTGATGGCTGTTCGACGCTGAGAATATGGCAAAAACGTTCGTCGTCGGAGAAGGTAGATCCTATATGCTGCTTCACTGGTTGAACAAAGCTGCTTCGAGTAGTGAGAATTCAAAGACTATATCGCAACAAAGTGGTATCCCGCACTGCATCTCTTGATCGGACATGGCTCGTACGCAGCCAGTCCTGCAGAGTCAGCTTGGCAGGCTCTGGACACCCCTCCGACCCAAAGTGACTCTGCATTCAACCAGTGCAGCAAGTATCCTTCACGCCGAGAATTGGTTTGGGTCAAACATGGTCAAAATGTAAGCTCTGCCCAGACGAAGGCCCACTTCAATGTGAAAAGGCCTCACTTCAAAACTGGGAGGATCATGATGACATCAGAAGCTCGTCCCATAGCTCTGCATCTCGCGAAGCCAAGCCTATGCCAAGTCTATGCAAAGTCTATGTGTGTATGTGTGTGTGCGTGTGCTTTTGGAGAGGTCAGACCGTGTCGCGGTATTAGCGAACACGGCTCGTCCATGGGCATGCTTCTCTCTGAAAATGGAACGTCTGGCGACATCAAATGAACATTGGATCTGGAAGACATCTTCCTGTCGGAGAGGTGCAAAACACTTGAGTGTCAGATGTTTCAGCCTCCCAAGACTAGTGACATCTCATATTGGAACGAATCGAATTTGTTGCCAAGCACTCATTCTTGGCCCTCTTGCATTGCGAGCTTTCGGCAAATCTCTCCGAAGCGGGCTTCAAATTCATCTCCAGCATATCCCATCGCCTCACACAGATCAAGATGGACAAACAAAAAGAACATGAAAAACATGAACGGTCTCGAGTTCGGATGTGCTTCATTACCCCCGATGTATCTAGACGAGAAGGAAGAACCGAAGCGGGCTTCACTTTCTTCAACTCCCTGACACACCAGATCTTCCGGAGGCAAACCGGCAAACCAGATCTTCCGAAGTGAAAGAGGTGCTTGAATTGACGGATGAGTTGCCCTATTCAAGCCAAAATGGAAAGAGTCACGGAGTTATTTGCACTGCAAGAAGCTGTGAGATCCAGAAAGTGGAGAATTCTAAGTTGGGACCAAATACTAAGGGACCTCATTCAAAAATGACCTAAAGACGATGTCATAGACAGAAGATAATTGCAAAACCAACGAGCAAATGGAAACACAGGACTGGCGGACCTACCCCGGACCTGCCAGTGACCGGGTCATGACTTTTGAGGCAATATTACTGCTCATACTACTGCTCATATGGTTATGCACATATACTATAATGTTCATCCTCCCATTGAATGTCGATGGCCATGACACACCCGATGATTCACCCGTCCGGCCATGACACGCGCACAGGTTCCAGTGGTTTCGAATCTGCTCCGGACTCTGAGCTGCTGCAGGTGCCTGGTGCAAATGCGAGGGCCAGCGAGGATACGCGGCTGCAGCACTTTTGCCAGAGCGGTGAATGACTCACTGAAAGCCGCTGCAGGCCATGTCAGCAAGTCCGTTCTTTGGCTTGGATGTCCAAAGCGTCTGAATTTTCTTTTCTTAATAGAAACTGCACAGAACTGGAACTGGCAAAGATCTTGCAGGATGGGTGGCTGCAAACGGACAGGAGAGGGATAAAGGCTGGAAATCCATCAAAATCACACGTCCTGCTCAAAAACGAACCAGCCCTTTCTGGATATCTCCCTTGCATGAGAGTTGCCCGCAAAAAAATTAGCGATTCTTCTAGTTGGCCAAGATCAGCTGTGCACGCGTGGTCACTTACACCACCAAGCAAATCACTTGTGTACAAAGGATACCAAGGATACCCAAAAAGAACATCTCTCCCAAAGAAATGTCTGTTGTCTTCTGTCTTCATTCGTAAACGTTTTGCAAAAGCTACCCGAGCCTTGCTGCTTGTCCTTTGTACTGATCTCTCCTGAGTTCATGGCTGCAGCGGTGGACACCGCGGTGGGCTTTCGGCACGGCTCCCATTGCTTTGCATTGTAGGTCTGGACCTCGCGGCTCAGTGTCAACAGAACGCAGTCTGTTTGAGTCCGCTCCGCTTGCTACTTACTGGTTTTCCAGCCGGTTGATCGCTCTTGAGAAACCCAAATCGGCTGACTCCTTTTAGGCATGGTTGTTACGTTCTTGCCCCCCACTGACGTGACGTGAGAAGAAGGTTCCTTCAGAAAACGGGTCTGTAAGTCTCAGGAGAGGGTTTTCCCATGTCCACTGTTGTCCTTCAAAAGTTCCAAGCGAACAGGGGGTCCAAACGGCGGACTGAAGTGGGTGACATCGCTGGAAGATCCCTTTTCATGGCAAGATATCGTACAAACCTAATATTGCTTCTCAGTCAGAGGCCATTGCTTCTAGGTTGGAGGCCATTGCTTCTAGGTTGGAGTGCTTTGCAGATTCTCACGCGACTCAGCTGAGAAACTTGCCCCGTCCCTCAAAGCTTTCTGTCCAGGAAGATTGGTCCAGAGAAGCCAGTCGAGATTGGAGCACCATGCCACGACAAATGTTGATCAATTCATATGGTTTGGAAAGGGGGTGGGGAAACACGTGCTGTTTTCCACACTCATGTCAGGCCATAGTTTTCTCTTGATATATCTTCAGCTGCTCTTGGTCTTCTGACTAAATAACATGAAAGAGCCCATCTGATGCCCAACCAGGGCACACATAGCAGCGGTTGGAGTGCTCCACACGCAGAGGTGCCTGGTGAGTTCGAAGTCCGCAGGTCTGTCGGAAGGAAATTGGAATCCAATATGGTCAAGTCCTGGACCTTGAAAAGCAAGCATGAGCAAGGAGCTCCTAGTAGCGATGCCAGGAGCTCCTAGTAGCTTCTTTTTCCTAGTAGTAATGCCAGGAGCTCCTAGTAACGTCCTTGCTCCTAGTGTCATTTGCAAGCTGACCACAAAAAAAAATGTCAGCATGTAACGTGAATTCTGCTTGGCAAAAAGCAACTTTTCAGGCTTCATGTGCACAAAGAACGCAGCTTCAGAACTGCCAACTGTTTGTACCGCAACCAAGCGGATTACTTGGCCTTTTCTCCCCACGCAAACTGCAAAACCTGCTTGGAAAACCACACAAAGTGCAGGGTGTCGGGAAAGTGGAGGAAGACTGCTAGAAGAACACCTTGTTTACCTGCAATGCCTGTGGCATAGCGGCTGTGTGGAAGTCGAAACAATGTGCTGAAAGGCTCGCAGGACGCTATGCCACTAGCTATCATGCTACTATCAGTCTGGTGAAGTCTGCGCTTACTATGGGGACTGTGTCGCCTTCCTGTTCGATCTTTGTCTGCTTCAGCGTTCGACCGTTTGCAGGCTCCTCTAAAGCAAAGGGAGCTCTGTAAATCAAAGATCTGCTATAAGATACAGTATCTTGCACAAAAGCTCATGCCACACTCCTCCACCTTATTTAGCCTAATTACGGTAGAATTTACTTCATCCCTCCCTTCACCCTTCACCATCCCCTCTAGCCTTCAAACATCTCTCCCAAGCACGGCGTGCTCACATGGCTCGCTGTGCTGGCATGGCCAAGCGCAGGCACCCAGCTCTCGACCGTCATCTCTTCCATGGCGAGTTGTCGGCACGTCTCTCCGAAGTCAGCCTCCCATTCCTCCGCAGTATAGGCTTTCACCTTGGCCGTTTTGTCGGCGGTTGGACGGTTTGGTCGGGGGCCCCCTGTGTTATGCGAAAGAGGACCCCTCGATGAAACAGGCTTGACACCTCAAGACATGAATTCAGTGAAGGGACGTGCACTTCTCTTTCTTTCGGCAACTGAGACACTGTCAGGGTTCAAAAAGCTCGACGAGGGCATGGTTGAACACTATGAAGCCAGAAAGGAGTTTCTTCTCTGGCTACTTAGTCCCTCTATTCTAGAATATCTCGATATGATCAAGAAGCTCAACCAAATGCACGATCCACCTCTGAGAATTCCCACGCCACTTGAGGTTATTTTGCCAAAGACAATCGAAGACTATGTCTTGAAGCGGTGGTGAACCGCCGTTCTTCCGATGGTTTCTCGGTCTTTTTCCCGGTGGTCGAGTGTCACTTCGATCAATTCACCAGCACAGTTGCACAGTGAGCACAAGACAAGAACGCCGACGATCTCAAACATGTTGCCCCTTTGGTGCTTTTTGGGGGTGATTGAGTCCCCCAAAAAGACTGCTGGTGAACAAGTCTTCCACCATCTTCCACCTGATCAGGGGGGCCCTGCATGCAATGGACCCTCACTCATGACCCATATCGCCAAAGCACACGCACGGGTTTGAGCGGAATCGAATCTTCTCCACCCGATGTGCCTGGGACAAACCAAGGTCTGCGACAAATCCATTTCTGAACCGAACGCACATTGGAAAGCCTTTGGAACACGTGCTGCGGAACATGCATGTGTGTTGAATCAAAAGGGCACCGTCATAGAAGCAGATTGAGCAGTTGTTGTGCAGACCATCTTCTCAACAAACAACCACACATCTACAGCTGTATATCTGGAATTCTCTCTTGCCGCTTGCCACAGGTTCTTGACCTAAAATGACCTCAGTTTCTTCTTCATAATTAATCTGTATGGCGCTTCAGCCGAGATGCAGGCACACCGTCTCTCCTCTGAACCGGGTCGGCTGGCACCGCTGGCACCACTTCCCATGCTGGTAAAAACGGCACCCAAAAAAGGAGCAGGGACGCGGTCGCCTGCCGTGGCTAAAAACTTGAGCTCGGTGCCTGCAAATGCAGCAGATGTTATAAGTTTTGTTGTTTTTTTGCGCAGAGTTAGAGATGCGGTTCCTGTCCGACCTGGCAAAAGCCAACTTCTTAGCCCTCCCAAAGGCGATGGCTCAAAATGGTGAAGTTCGGGTCTCTGAGACTGAAAGTAGTTCCTCCAGTATTCCATCACCTCAACTCTCCCAAAGACATGCAAATTCCTCCATGATCAAGCTTGCCTTCCGTCATTTACCTTTGAAACATGCAGAATCTCTGAACCACCAGGTGCATGTGCGATACTGGCGCCCACCAGCTACACTGGCGCCTCCTCCCTTCTCCAAACCAAGCCCCGGGCCGGCTGGCCATCTCCGGAGGAGCGACACCGCTGGATGGGCATGTCGCCTCGTCACCAGTGATGCTGCTCATGATGTGCTCCTTAGAGGCGCATATATAGGTGGCTGACAGGCTGCAGCTGCACCGCAAGACATCGCCGCGGACGCGGAAGTGAGACGCGGAAGCAAAATGGGCTCCCGGTTGAACAGGTGCTCTTGAGCAGTGCATAGCACAAAGGGTGTCGGAGTCTTCTTCCATACAAAGTCCTCCCTACACAAGAACGCTGAGAACTCAATTGCCCATGAAGCAATTATTGGACTGATCTAAGATGATCCAAGCAGGAAGGCACTGCTGTCCACGTCGACTTTACTCATGCTCAAATATAGCAAGTGAACTTAGGTCCAAACTCTTTACCTTCTCTGGAGTGTGTGCTCTGTGGATCAAAAGCCCACGCCACAAGCACCGTGGTCTTGAGGGATCCAGTTTCCATCTGTTTCAGTCTTTGACCTGCACGGTCTGAAAGATCTGAAGGGTCTGAAGCTCTTGCAGAAGTTTGTTTGAAGATGGATGTTCATGCCCCTCAAGTAAAAGTAATGAAGCTTCCCATCCATTCCCGTCTGTTCCAAATTCTCCCCAACTGTCTACTGTCTATACCGATTCTCAACCTTCCGGGTCATGTCCCAAAGCCACCAGCCCAGCCAGCCCCAGTGGCAATGTCATCTGCCGAGAAGAGCTCCCCCGACTTGGGCACCACCGTCACCTGAGCATCCGGACTCCCTTGGACTACCATATACTGCTCCGAACTCAGGCGGCTTGGCCGCCTTCAGTCTCCGCTTGGTGTCGGCAGTTCAAACCAACGACGACATCCATCGTACCTTGAAGGGAATTAATTTGAAGTACTCCTGCTTGCAGGCTCCCCATGGCTTCTGTCAATGTCTACACTCCCTGAAAGCATCATATGGTTTAAGATGGTTTAACCTGAAAAAAACCGAAGTTCTGGAACAGCTCATCGACTTGCGTCCGAAACGAACTCGGGGCCATGCCATCCACGCCCAAGGCACTCCTGATGGACGCACTGGTTCGGACTCCCCTGCACGGAGGCCGCATCCCGCTGCGAGGGGAGAAGCTAATGCTGGAGCACTGAGAGGATCACATCCAACGTTGAGGGGAATAGCCAAACATGATCAAAAATTCAACTTATCCATTGGGTTTCATGTTATTTTCTTTCTATCAGAAACCGGTGGTGAACTAGTCTAAGTCATCGCAAGTGCTCCTTACAACTGCTCTATTTTCAACTTCATTCAGCTTCACGACGCGGAGCTCAGTTGCGCATGTCCGGCAGGTCCACCTTGCTGCTCCGGCTCCGCAGGCTCAGGCTCCGCAGGCTGCGCTAGATCGGTGGCGGCCTGGCGTGGTTTTCCGCATCGTCTTCAGGTCGTGCGACCGGAAAGGTCGGGAAAGGTAAGGACGATCTGCGATGGACACAAAGATGAGAAGTAGTTTATTGGTGAATAGTGAATGTTGCGGGGATGTGATACGCAAAAACACACTCCTATAGCATCTCGTAACAGATTTGCTCAAGGATTGGGAAGGGAACACGTCGCGATAGAGCGAGGTACTGGTTGGAGTGTTTGAACATATTTCGCGATGTCACATCCACCGAAAAGGAGTGCTCTTCAACCTCGAATTTGCTGCTAACAATGGTCATATCTTCCCACTGTATTCCCATCCAATCATGCCAGTTTGACTCCTGGAAGATTCCTTCGACAAAAATTGACATGTTCATGTTTGTGGGAGGGAAGACCCTTCCACCATGGGACAGGTGGGTCTTCGATGTCCCAAACCCGCCCGTTGACGCGAGAAACTGCGTTGCCGCTGTCCTCAGGGGCCTGCGGTCTGACTTCCGGTCCTGAGACGGGCCGGGACGTCCCCTCCTGCGGTTGGACGTGCCCTCTTTGGGTCGAGGACACGGCGCTTTCGTGGCGTTCGATGAGAGTGTTCTTCGTGGTTTACGTCCTGGCTTTCGATTTGGGAGCGTAGGAAGAGCTAGAGTTCTTGATGTGGAAAGCCCCACTCATGCTTTCAAGAGGTGGCTCCAATGGAGAATCACCAAGAATCAAAGCAGTCTGAGAAGGATTCGACGCAGTTGGAGAGGTCGGAGGCTACCCATCATGCTGAGGATGCCAACTAGAACAATTGCCCAGTTGGGCATGGCGGCATGGCCGAAACATGTTTTAATGCTCGAAAATCTAATGGATAGGAAGACTCCGATGCAAAAACCTCTGGATACACGAGATGCTTGATCAGAATCTAATTAGTTGCCAGTGGGGCCAGTGGGGTCTCCAAAACCTCTTGAGCTAACTCGTGCGCTTCCCTAATGTGTCATTTACTTGCCTTTGTGCTTGGCTCCTCTTTACAAGGTTTTGAAACAACCTGCCGTTTTACGAACACGGTGGTAGACAAGGAGTCTTGATCGTTCCCAGCCGCCGTGTCCTCGTCTTCCACTCTCTTTCCCTCATCCCCAAACGGTCTCCTGCAACCGCCTCCTCACTGACTTCCTCCACCGGCAACAGTGGGGCTTCCGGAACCTCCAAGCGCATTTGGAGGCAACTTCAACGAATCAGGATCACAACTTATCACAACATTTCGATTTCCAAGGTGAAAGCCCAAACCCCAACTTGAAAAAAGAATAGAAATTCGATCTGGTCGCAGCCAGTGGAAACCGCCCAGGAGGAACTCCAAAAGATGTGGTACTCGACTGTTCCGGTGGGCATCCCGTTCTCCGTGCTGTGCTCCATAGAAACCGACTCTCACCGGACAGTACTTCAGTTACTTCGTTCGTGACTGGACTGAGACGACATCTTCGCCAAAGTTGGATCTCTTGATGTCCAAAGAGGGCAACGGCAACTGTGGGAAAACCTATGTAAATCCAGAGGTATCCACACCCATTCACCTAGCCTTGTGTTGTCCCAAAACACTCATCGGTGACTCGGCCATTGGTTAAGAGCCAATAGAAGCATGCTAGATGATAGGCCTTGAGATGCCTTGAGTTCTTGACGAACCTCAGGAGCCTGGATCGAGCCCTTCGCGCCGCCGCGCCTGATCTGACTCGCTCGGGGAGGGCGGCGCCGTGTCGAGCCGGAACTTGTAAGGCGACACCTGCGGGGCCCGGCCTTGCGCCCTGGTAGATCCGATCGCTCCTCCCGACCAACGAACCGTTAGAGACGAATACGTTATAGATAAATATATATATATACCTAGAACCTCATTCGATACATTAATTTCTGCTCGAG